TCCCCGCTCCCCGCGGCGCGGCCTGGGGGCCGGCGCCCGAGAGCCGCTCGGGAAGCCTTTTCCTAGTGCCCAGGCTTTCGGGTGTAACTCATCCGCTGCCCCGCACGCCCCGGCCTCCCACCTCGGCCCGAGGTCGTGGCCCGTTTGGCGCCCTCCTCCCTTAAAAAGGAGGGAAGGGAAGGAGACTGGCAGCCCGAGCCCAGCGCCAGGATTGTGTTCGGGCATCAGGTGAGAAGCCCGGGTTGCCCGGTGGAGGCTGGACCCTGGCGGATCGGCCGCGTGCGACCCCGGGACGGGCGGGAGCGGTTGTCACCTCGCAGCCGGGGCTGGGGGTGGGGTGGGGGGGAGTGTTTATAACTTGGGCACGGGTTCCCCGCCCGCCCGAGCCTGCGTCCACCTCCCGGCTCTCCACTTCCATGTCCATGGCTCAGGAAGGAAGAAAATGCTGGCGTTTGTCTCCTGCCATTGGCCTCCCTGTGGCCGTGACTTGGTCTGCTTTTGATGAATGTTTCGGGAGGGCGGAGGACAGTTAACATTTCCTGTTGTGGATTTTTAGGAATCTCCAAGGTTGCCATCAAGTCTGCAGTCATTTATTAGCTTGCAGATAGCCTGCAAGGCACAGTGGAACTGAGCAGCCTGCACTGTCTGGTGCTTAAGGCCAGGTGCAGGCAGGTCTGGCCACGGACTGAAAAGGTGGATGGTCACGTGAGGCTGGAATGCTGTCTTGTCAAAGGCCCCTAGGGTGATTGGTTAACTTCATACACACACACACACACACACTCAGGAGTCTCTAATTTCCCCACCACTCTTGCAGTCTTTGTTTAGGGGTGGTGGGAAGAAGGGGCGAAAATGAGAACCTCAAAAAGCAATCCTGGAAAAAAAAACGTTTTCTAAGGCAACTTCAGCAGATGGAAGATTTAAAACTTAAGCCATTAATCTAGGGTAGCCTTGGACCATTATCTATTGATTGATGTGGCAAAGTCCAGAATTTCATTCTTAATTAGTGAATGATTATAATTTATAACATCCTGTTGTGTAAGAGGTTCGATTTTGGCCTCTTAGATCTAGGAATTATTGTCTATTACAATTGGCAACTGCTTAACATCCAGCATTTAAATGTTTCTCAGTGAGGTTTGTTAGCCTTCAAAAGTTAGAAATAATTCCACATACTTTAGATCTGTTTACTGTAAAAATGGCACATGAAGCAAAAGTAAGGATTTGTAGTCAAACTGCAAGCCAACAATTATGGCCAACAAGTGGTTGACCTCAGGTCCTGATGAACTATGAACTGTGGCCCTACTTGTCTTTACCACACTTCTTGAAATACTTCAGGAGGCAAATATTTAATATACCAGAGCTAGATAAACTTAGTATGGAAGATTTGAAATGTTAGATAGTCCAGCATTTTGATGTGCATCGGTTTTCTCTTGCCATTAGTTGGTATGAGTACTGTTGGGTTTAGAGCTCTTTTTACATAATTTCCTTTTGATAAGTAAGCAGACCACTGAACTCTAGCTGGGTATCTGGGTCACTGATCCTTTATCTGCCTCCTGCCAAAAAGGGCTTAAAAGTAGTCCAGGGGAATTTGTGTGTTTATTTGGTAAATATTTAGAACATCAGCTCTCCTGACACAGCGCTAGGCTCTGTGGATTCAAATGGAAACTGGAAACAAGGAAGTCTCTTTACAATCCACAGAGATTACATTCTAGTTGGTGAGCTGGCAGCCTGTAACAACCAAAAATAAATAGAAGTAATTACCTTTTGGGGTTCTAAGGGAGATAATAAAAATACTTGAATGTTTTTGAAAGGCTGGTTTGGGGAGCAATCGAAATATTGTTTATGATAGAACATTGTGTAAGTTATAATAGTCAACAAATATGTCAAGTGTTTAATGTTTCAAAATTCTATCCGATTACTATACTTTTGCTAGTGTTGGGGTTTGAACTCAAGGCTTTGGGCTTGTTCTGCCACTAGAGACATGTCTTCATTTTTTTATTTTGGGATCTTCCCTCCTTTCCTTCCTTCCTTCCTTCCTTCTTTCTTTTTTCTCTTTCTTTCTCTTCTTTCTTTCCTCCTTCCCTCTCTCCCTCTTCCCCCCTCTTCTCTCTCTCTTCCTTCCTTCCTCCCTTTCTTCCTTTCTTTCTTCCTCCCCCCCCTCTCTTTTTTTGCCTTTAAATTGTTATTCAGATAGGATACCAAACCTACGCCAGCCCCAGACCTTGATCCTCTTTCAACTTCCTCCTGTGTAGCTGGTATTACAGTTATGAAACACCATGCCTGGCTTGTTTGTGAAGATAAAGTCCTGCTAACATTTTTTTTTTTTTGGCCAGGCTTTCTCAAACTTCTGTGCACCCATCTGTACCCTACTGACTAGTTGGGATTACAGGCACAAGCCACTGTGTTTAGGCCTCTATCAGATTATTATTATAGTAATGAAAAAAGGCAGGGAATCACAACTGGATCAGACTTTGATTTTTCTCATGTAGAATTTCCAGCAGAAGGAATTTTGCTTCTGAGGAGATATAAATAATGATGAGGAATTACAAATAGAATAATTAATAGATGTACAGTATCAAATAAGATACTCATGAAATACAATATTATCAATGAATTTTTTTCTAGCAAGAGAAAAGTTTAATGGTATCCATGGAGACCAGATGACATGGCAGTAACGAATGTTTTTCCTCTTTATATCAGATTAAACATCTTCCCAGGCCCCTCTAAGCTTTAGTGTGATTTTCCTTCACTGTTGTTCCTGAGTCTTGTCTGTCATTATACATGTCTACTCTGTTGAATTCACTATGTTGCTGTGTCACCTACAACATGGTTAACTTGCATTTATTGAAAGGACTGGGAGAGTGGTATAGAAGAGCACTTGTGGGAGAGGCCCTGAGTGCAATCCTAGGTGCTGCCAAAACAACAGCAAAAATGTCCCCCAAACAAAAACAATACAACTGATTACTGTGAAAGAGCAGTTACTATTATTAACAAAAATCACTTCTTTTAATCTGTATGGGACAACAGATTCCTTGCTGCACAGAAGGTCACACTTTGTGCCTGTGCCCTGCTTTGGCTTGCGTGGATCAATATATAGTATCGAATGTCAGCTTAATGCAAAATGGGCTGAATTGAAAATAGGCTGTTAGGGTGAGGGTAGTTCATAAAATACGAGGTGAAGAGGTTTGGTTAAATTGTGATGTAGCCACAAGGAATGACAAACTATCTAGAGGGGCTAGATTTA